CCACGAGCGGCTCGCTAACAGCCAGAGGGGGCCTTCGCAGGATCCTGCAGGATCCTGCAGGATCCTGGCTGACCCTCGTTTGCATTGACCCCCGTCTCAAGGCTCCCGAGCTCGGCGCCTTCGCGAGCCGCCGGCGCGGCGCGCCGCGCGGAGAGGAGGGGCGCTCTGGAGGCGCGCGGCCCCGCGCGGGCAGCTGCCCGCGGCACACGCCCGCGCGGTCGGCCCCCGGGCTCCCCCGCGCTCGCCGGGCCCCGGGGCGGGCCCGAAAGGCGGGCTCTCGGCTCGGGGGTGGGGGGGGCGCCACCCCCTCCCCCCCTCCCCACCATTAAGCAAGGGGAACTGGGACACACAAATAAATAGACACAGATAACCGGATTCACCAGATTTTCCTATATTTTCTGGGTGTTTGTCTTCCCCCCCACCTTCCATATTTTCCCATTTTTTCCTGGGAGTCGACGATCAATTGTGTCTGTGTGTTTCTTTCCCTCCTTACCCATGCACCCCTTCGAGTAGGGGATCGACTTCCGAGCGGGTGTGCCTCCAGGTCCTTGCGCTTTCGCCGGGTCTGCCACGGAAGCGCCGCATCCACGCAGATCTACGAACACTCCACGCATCCGTCTGCAGACTCGACGAGCACACGAGTTGTGGAGCACAGGGAATCTGTGGTCGATCCCCTGCTCGGAGGCTCTCCTGCCCTTCCTGGCACTGTCGGGACTGGCATCTGGTGGAGCCCGCTCTGGTCGTCCCGGGGCGTTCTCGGTACGGGGCGTGAAAATGACCACAGCCACTGCTTTTTCTTTTGTTGCCGCCTTCCAGCCCGCAGAAACAAAGCAGAGGTTGTGGTCATGTTTGTTGAGCTTGGCACCAGGGAAATGACCACAACAACTGCTTCTTTTTCGGCCGGTTGGAAGGCGGCGCAAACAAGAAGCAGTGGCTGTGGTCATTTTCCCGTCCCGCACTCGGGCAGGGCTGGACCCAAACGTTGTTTCTCGTGCTGGTTTCGTTTCGCTTTCGGTTTGCTCTACCTGTTGTCCTGTACCTACCTCCCAAAACGAAAAACGACACACAGCCAAAGTCCAGCGAGACAGCGTTTAGGTCCAGCCCTGCTCTCAGGGCCACCTCGGACTTCTGAGCGATGCTGCAGCGCTGCCGGAAAAAGCCCGTGCGCCGTGCCACTTTGCTGGGACAAGTGGCTGCCCAGGAGCCCCTGGACGTGTGAGCTGGTCCTGAGCTGCCCCAGGAGGCTCCAGACCCCGGGAGGCTACTTGAGGCCCATCGAGAGAGGAAGGAGCCTGGTGTCGCGGGCTCGAGTAGGGATCGACTTCAGAATTGATGATTTTTCTCGCCGAGTCCTCCGTAGAATGTTCGCAGTTCCACGAACATGCTACGCAGTTCTAATGGACTCGGTGAACAGAAGAACACTAGGGAAAGACGGTCCCCTACTCGAAGGGCAACCCGCACACTTTGCCGCGCCAGGGATGGAGATCAGGAAGGTGCGGCAGGAGACCAGGCGGGAAATCGGCCAGCGTCGCCAGAGGAATGGGCAAGCATGGTTGGCACGACCTTTCTCGCTGTCGCAGATGGGGTCAGACGAAGCGGACTGACCAAACGACCCGGTCTGACAGAAATGGCGCGGCAACCGGACAGGCAGAGTGGTCTGACAGGACGGTCGAACGGCGAAAACTCCGCCGCGCTGCAAAAGGGAACCGGGCGTTCCCGCGGTTCAGCTTCCGAAGAAAACTCAGCAGCATGCCACGCCAGCCCTGTCAGCTCAGCGTCCAAAATGAGCGTGGCAGTACGCCACGCCCAGGGCTCCCGAGCCAAGCTCTGACCAGGAGCAGCCGCTCGCGACGTGGCTCGTTCCGAGGGCCCTCGCAACAGACACGCTCGCAGAGCTGTCGGGCAGCGCGCCGAGCGGGGTGGGGCGAGGGGGGCGGCCGTGGAAGAGGGAAGGGGCCTCTCGGGAGGGATCAGAAGAGGCCTCCGAGGAGGCATCCTATGAGACAGCGAGGCAACTGAGGAGAAGCCCTGGGCCTCCATCAGCCGCCACCACCGAATTCCTATTTCGGGAGCGGCCCAGAGGGGGGTGTCCAAGAGGGGGGGTGCAAGTCATGACCGGCGGCACGTGCGCGGCCCAGCGGGGGGGGGCCGGGGACGTCATGAAATGAGAGGAGGCGCCATGAGATCTGGGGAAGTATCATGGCCCGCGCCATGATATCCACCCCCCCTAGTCATCACCCCCCTCTTTTCCGTCCCCGATCACAACGTCGACCCCGAGAAGGTCGACCCATTCCCCGGGACCGGCTTTTCATCCGGAGTCGTTCTGTGGACAGCCCCGAGGCACGGCGATGGCCCACGCCATGATATCCACCCCCCCCCCTCCTCCTCCTCCTTCTCCTCCTCCTCCTCCTCCTCCTCCTCCTCCTCCTCCTCCTCCTCCTCCTCCTCCTCCTCCTCCTCTTCCTCCTCCCCTCTCTCCTCCTCCTACTCCCCTCCTCCCTCCTCTCCCTGTCATCCACCCCCCCTTTTCCGCCCGACTACTGGAGGCCCCTCCGGGTGAGCTCCTCGAGCTGCGCGCGGCCGTGGCAACGAGGGGGCCCCTGGAGGAGCAGCGAACGAGCACAGCGGGGTGGGAGGGGGAGGAGGGGGAGGAGGAGGAGGAGGAGGAGGAGGAGGAGGAGGAGGAGGAGGAGGAGGAGGAGGAGGAGGAGGTGGAGGAGGGGAGGAGGAGGAGGAGGAGGAGGAGGAGGAGGAGGGGGAGGAGGAGGAGGAGGAGGAGGGGGAGGAGGGGGAGGAGGAGGGGGGGAGGAACCCAAGGCGTGGCAGCGATTCTGCAACACACCCTCCCAGCCCAAGCACGTACCCTCCTATTACGTCCACACATGCTCCCCTTCGACTGCAAGAAGCGCCCCCTTGCAAGACCAGCGTCTCGTGGGCCTGTCGTTTGGCAGGGCCCCAACAATAGGGAGACCCCGGTGTGGGAGTTCCCTGGACCCCCCCGGGACCCCCCCCGAAACACCACTCAGCTGGCAAGGTGTTTCGGCTGTTTTTCCCCCCGGATCCCGGGGTGAGGGGGGGGGGAACTTCGGCTAAAATGGATGAGCTTCCGGGCCCGACACTTGAAAACAATGCTAGCTCCCCCCCAAAAAAAACAAAAACACACCCAAAAAAACACAGAACAACACCCGAACAAAAAAAAAACAAATAAAAACCTCGAAACCAAAAGCAGTACTTTTTGTGTTTTGTCATTTGTTTTTCCAGAAGGCTCCCAGGAGCGATCGGTGAAACCCCTTCGAATCGCAATTCGGACTAACCCTCCCAGGAAACCCCCAACTCAGGGTTTTTTCGGGAGTGTTTCGGGTGTTTTTCGGTGATTTGTCTATAATTTGTCTATGGTTTTCTGGGGGAGTGGGCTCCCGAGAAACCATCTAATTAGAGAGCTTGCTTGAAGAACTGTTTCAAAGTTTTCAGGGTCTGGGAACCCTTGAAAAAAAGAAAATCCCAACTCGGGCGTTCTTTGACTGTTCTTCAAATGTTTACCTGAGGGGGGACCCCCGAAAACCCTCCCAGGGCAGTGATTGTTCTTTTGTTTTTTCTGAGGTTCTGGGGCCCCACAATTCAAAACAATACTATTTCAGAAAACCCCCCAAGAAACCCAAGAAAAGAAAAATGCAAACTCGGGAGTTTTCGGATGCCGTTTTTTCTTAAGTTGTTATGTGGCTCTGGGGGCCCACAATTACATACACAACTATTTCAAACACCCCCTGGGAGCCCCCTGGAAAGGAGATATATGTAATAATAAACTCGGCTCATTTCTGCTGTTGTTTTTCCTGCTACTTTTCTGATACCTGTCATATGTTTATTCGGCGGTTTTCAAATAGTGTTCCAAGGGGGGAAGCCCCAGACACAAAAATAAAATTAAAAAAACGAAAGTGTTTCTGATCTGTTTCGGGGGTTCCGGGGCCCCACAAGCAAAAACCATAACACCCCCCAGGAACCCCTCAAAAAAAACAAACTAAATGGCTATTCTGGTATTGGTCGGATCTGCTTCTTGTGTTTCCCGTTGATTTTTCTTGTATTTTCCCAGGGCGGGGAACCTCCGAAAAAAAACATCAACTCGGGGATGTTTCTTGAGATTTATCTGGTTTTTCCGGGGGGGGGAAGCCCGAACAAAACCCCGACGCGAGTGCTTTTCTGTGCGGGATGTTGTTCTTGTGTTTTTTTTCCGGAGGGAGGATTCCATCAAATTCGCCCAGCTCGGAGGTTTTTCTAATGTTCCGCAACTGTTTTCTTCAAGGGGAGAACCACCAAAAACCATTAAATTCTGATGTTTCTCTGGGATTTTTCGGCCCCACAATGAAAAAAAACAAGACAATTCCCGGGGACCCCCCCGGAAAAAAACACAATTGGGTGGTGTTTCGGTTTTTGTTTCCTGCTGTATAAACACGCGCGCGCTTCGCGCGCGCTTAGGTTCTGTCGAGTCACAGACCCAGGAATCGTTGTGAGAAGAAATTGGTGACGCGAAGCGTCGTGGGGGCGTCCTTGGACGTCTGGGGTCTCCTGGGGCCTCTTGAGGGGCCTCCTGGGGGCCTCCTGGCGGCCTCTTGGGGCGGAAGGCTCGAGCTTGCGGTTCGTGGTCCCCCTCTGGGCCCCCTCTTGGGCCCGTCTTGGGGCCCTCTTGGGCCATCTTGGGCGCGGAAAGCCCAAAAGACAACTTTGTTGAACATGTACGTTTTACGAAGGGAATGGGCCAACTTTTGCGTCTGGGGGCCCTCTTGGGACGCATGTTGGAGGCTTCTTGGGGCGTCTTGGGGGCGTCCTTGGACGTCTGGGGTCTCCTGGGGCCTCTTGAGGGGCCTCCTGGGGGCCTCCTGGCGGCCTCTTGGGGCGGAAGGCTCGAGCTTGCGGTTCGTGGTCCCCCTCTGGGCCCCCTCTTGGGCCCGTCTTGGGGCCCTCTTGGGCCATCTTGGGCGCCTCTTGGGCCGTCTTGGGGCCCTCTTGGGCTGTCCTGGGGCCCTCTTGGAAGCTTCTTGGGCCGTCTTGGGGCGGTCTTGGGCGCCTCTTGGGCCGTCCTGTAACGTCGGAAAGCCCAAAAGACAACTTTGTTGAAAACGTACGTTTTACGAAGGGAATGGGCAAATTTTTGCGTCTAGGGGCCCTCTTGGGACGCATGTTGGAGGCTTCTTGGGGCCTCTTGGGGGCGTCCTTGGACGTCTGGGGTCTCCTGGGGCCTCTTGAGGGGCCTCCTGGGGGCCTCCTGGCGGCCTCTTGGGGCGGAAGGCTCGAGCTTGCGGTTCGTGGTCCCCCTCTGGGCCCCCTCTTGGGCCCGTCTTGGGGCCCTCTTGGGCCATCTTGGGCGCCTCTTGGGCCGTCTTGGGGCCCTCTTGGGCTGTCCTGGGGCCCTCTTGGAACTTCTTGGGCCGGGCGGTCTTGGGGCGGTCTTGGGCGCCTCTTGGGCCGTCCTGTAACGTCGGAAAACCCAAAAGACAACTTTGTTGAAAATGTACGTTTTACGAAGGGAATGGGCCAATTCTTGCGTCTAGGGGCCCTCTTGGGACGCATGTTGGAGGCTTCTTGGAGCCTCTTGGGGGCGTCCTTGGACGTCTGGGGTCTCCTGGGGCCTCTTGAGGGGCCTCCTGGGGGCCTCCTGGCGGCCTCTTGGGGCGGAAGGCTCGAGCTTGCGGTTCGTGGTCCCCCTCTGGGCCCCCTCTTGGGCCCGTCTTGGGGCCCTCTTGGGCCATCTTGGGCGCCTCTTGGGCCGTCTTGGGGCCCTCTTGGGCTGTCCTGGGGCACTCTTGGGAGCTTCTTGGCCCGTCTTGGGGCGGTCTTGGGCGCCTCTTGGGCCGTCCTGTAATGTCGGAAAGCCCAAAAGGCAACTTTGTGAAAAATGTACGTTTTACGAAGGGAATGGGCCAATTTTTGCGTCTAGGGGCCCTCTTGGGACGCATGTTGGAGGCTTCTTGGGGCCTCTTGGGGGGCGTCCTTGGACGTCTGGAGGCCATCTTCAGCATCTCGGAGCCCTCTTGGAGGCCTCTTGGAAGTTTCTTGGGCCGTCTTGGGCGTTTCTGGGGCCGTCTTGTCTGACCGGGGAGGCCTCCGGCAAGCCCCGACGAGCCTCCGGGGCCCCCGGGGTGCACATTTGCGGTCGAGGTCCCGGCCCCGGGCCCCCGGACCCGGTGCGCCGTTATATGTATACTAGAACCACGCGCGCGCTTCGCGCGCGCTTAGGTTCTGTCGAGTCACAGACCCAGGAATCGTTGTGAGAAGAAATTGGTGACGCGAAGCGTCGTGGGGGCGTCCTTGGACGTCTGGGGTCTCCTGGGGCCTCTTGAGGGGCCTCCTGGGGGCCTCCTGGCGGCCTCTTGGGGCGGAAGGCTCGAGCTTGCGGTTCGTGGTCCCCCTCTGGGCCCCCTCTTGGGCCCGTCTTGGGGCCCTCTTGGGCCATCTTGGGCGCGGAAAGCCCAAAAGACAACTTTGTTGAACATGTACGTTTTACGAAGGGAATGGGCCAACTTTTGCGTCTGGGGGCCCTCTTGGGACGCATGTTGGAGGCTTCTTGGGGCGTCTTGGGGGCGTCCTTGGACGTCTGGGGTCTCCTGGGGCCTCTTGAGGGGCCTCCTGGGGGCCTCCTGGCGGCCTCTTGGGGCGGAAGGCTCGAGCTTGCGGTTCGTGGTCCCCCTCTGGGCCCCCTCTTGGGCCCGTCTTGGGGCCCTCTTGGGCCATCTTGGGCGCCTCTTGGGCCGTTTGGGGCCCTCTTGGGCTGTCCTGGGGCCCTCTTGGAAGCTTCTTGGGCCGTCTTGGGGCGGTCTTGGGCGCCTCTTGGGCCGTCCTGTAACGTCGGAAAGCCCAAAAGGCGACTTTGTTGAAAATGTACGTTTTACGAAGGGAATGGGCCAATTTTTGCGTCTAGGGGCCCTCTTGGGACGCATGTTGGAGGCTTCTTGGGGCCTCTTGGGGGCGTCCTTGGACGTCTGGGGTCTCCTGGGGCCTCTTGAGGGGCCTCCTGGGGGCCTCCTGGCGGCCTCTTGGGGCGGAAGGCTCGAGCTTGCGGTTCGTGGTCCCCCTCTGGGCCCCCTCTTGGGCCCGTCTTGGGGCCCTCTTGGGCCATCTTGGGGCTTGGCCTCGCCTGGGCCATCTTGGGCGCCTCTTGGGCCGTCTTGGGGCCCTCTTGGGCTGTCCTGGGGCCCTCTGGGAAGCTTCTTGGGCCGTCTTGGGGCGGTCTTGGGCGCCTCTTGGGCCGTCCTGTAACGTCGGAAAGCCCAAAAGGCGACTTTGTTAAAAATGTACGTTTTACGAAGGGAATGGGCCAATTTTTGCGTCTAGGGGCCCTCTTGGGACGCATGTTGGAGGCTTCTTGGAGCCTCTTGGGGGCGTCCTTGGACGTCTGGGGTCTCCTGGGGCCTCTTGAGGGGCCTCCTGGGGGCCTCCTGGCGGCCTCTTGGGGCGGAAGGCTCGAGCTTGCGGTTCGTGGTCCCCCTCTGGGGGCCCCTCTTGGGCCCGTCTTGGGGCCCTCTTGGGCCATCTTGGGCGCCTCTTGGGGGTCCGTTTTGGGGCCCTCTTGGGCTGTCCTGGGGCACTCTTGGGAGCTTCTTGGGCCGTCTTGGGGCGGTCTTGGGCGCCTCTTGGGCCGTCCTGTAATGTCGGAAAGCCCAAAAGGCAACTTTGTGAAAAATGTACGTTTTACGAGGGAATGGGCCAATTTTTGCGTCTAGGGGCCCTCTTGGGACGCATGTTGGAGGCTTCTTGGGGCCTCTTGGGGGGCGTCCTTGGACGTCTGGAGGCCATCTTCAGCATCTCGGAGCCCTCTTGGAGGCCTCTTGGAAGTTTCTTGGGCCGTCTTGGGCGCTTCTTGGGCCGTCTTGTCTGACCGGGGAGGCCTCCGGCAAGCCCCGACGAGCCTCCGGGGCCCCCGGGGTGCACATTTGCGGTCGAGGTCCCGGCCCCGGGCCCCCGGACCCGGTGCGCCGTTATATGTATAAGTCCGGGGAGGGAAACCCTCGAAAAACCTCACAGCTCAAGGTTTTTTCGATGTTGCTTCTGTTCTGTAATTGTCGGCCCAACACTTAAAAACAATACGATGTCAGAAAACCACCTGGGACTCCCCCAAAAAAGAAACCCAACTCTGCTTTTTGTTTGTTTGTTTTTTTTGTTTTCTTGGGTTTCCCTGAAGTTTTCCCCGGATTGGGAAGTTGTTCGGGAATGCTCCCCCCCCGAGAAAACAACATTAAAAAACCGGAAAGACTCCCAAGATGAGTTGTTTGTTTTGGTGTTCAAATGCTTCCCGGGAGGTTTCCTGAAATTGTGTTCTTCATGTGAGCCCCCCCCCGAAAAAAAACAACCGAAAAAACTCCGATTTTAGTTTTTTTGTTCGGGAAAACCACCGAGAAACACCGGGAAAATCCCCCCCGAAAAACCGTGAACCAAAACACTCACAAAAAACATAAGAACAAAAACTAGTTTGGAAGTGTTTCGGGTGGTTCCCGGCGGTTGCTCTGAAATGATATTGTTTTTAATTGCGGCCCAGAACCCCCGAAAACTCTTCGAAACACATCACAAACAAACACCCGAGTTGGGAGTTCTTGTTCCGGGGTTTCCCCTCCCCCCCCCCCGAAAACCCCCAAACAACCAGCGAAAAACCCAAGAACAACATCCGAAAAAACACAGAAAAAAACCCTTGAGTTTAAAGATGCTTCGGAAGTTTCCTGGGAGGTTTTCTCTGATAGGTTCGTTTTTAAGTGTGGTCCCCCAGAACCCCGAAAAACCGCCGACAAAAAAAACGAGTTGGATGGTTTTTCAATGGTTTCCCCCCTCAGGGAAACCCACGGAAAAACACAGAAAAACTCATGAGATTGGGTTGTTTCCTGATGTTTCCCGGGTGGGTTTCTGAAATCATACTGCTTGGAAGTATGGGGCCCCAGACCAACCGAAAAACCTTCGAACAAAAAAACGGGTTGGGTTTTTGTTTCGGGGTGGTCCCCCCCGGAAAAACAAAACACCAGAAAAAAATATCCTGGCGAAAGACCCAACCATATGCAGTTGTGGGTACCGCAATTGTGAATATCTTCTTCGGTGCAGCTCCCTATGGGGCCACGAAGCGCTGCACTGGGTGGGGGGGGTGCCTAACCAGATGCACTTGTGAGTGCCGTCGTTGTGAGTACCGCCTTCGGCGGACCTCCCTATGGGGCCACCAAGCGTGTGAAGGGTGTGGCTGGGGCGGCGGTGCCACGCGAAAGCCTCCCACTGGGGCCTCAGGTGGAGATCCCTATGGGGCCACGAAACGTGTGAGGGGTGTGCCGAAATGGGGCGGCGGTGCCATGCGAACCCTCCCGCTGGGGTGCCTTCGGTGGAGCTCCCTCTGGGGCCACGAAACGTGTGAGGGGTGTGCCGAAATGGGGCGGCGGTGCCATGCGAACCCTCCCGCTGGGGCCTTCGGTGGAGCTCCCTCTGGGGCCACGAAACGTATGAAAGGGTGTGCCGAAATGGGGCGGCGGTGCCATGCGAACCCTCCCGCTGAGGCCTTCGGTGGAGCTCCCTATTGGGCCACGAAACGTGTGAGAGGTGTGCCGAAATGGGGCGGCGGTGCCATGCGAACCCTCCCTGTTGGGCCTTCGGTGGAGCTTCCTGTGAGTCCACGAAGCGTGTGAGAGGTGTTCCGAAGAAGGGCGGCGGTGCCATCCGAACCCTCCCGCTGGGGCCTTCGGTGGAGCTCCCTATGGCCACGAACCGTGCGAGGGTTGTGCCGAAATCGGTGATGGTGATGATGATGCTGATGATGATGATGATGATGATGAAGATGATGATGATGCTGATGATGATGATGATGATGATGATGATGATGATGTTGATGCTGATGCTGATGCTGATGCTGATGCTGATGCTGATGCTGATGCTGATGCTGATGCTGATGATGATGATGATGGTGGTGATGGTGATGATGATGATGATGATGATGATGATGATGATGATGATGATGATGGTGATAGTGATGGTGATGGTGATGGTGATGGTGATGGTGATGATGATGACGATGACGATGACGATGATGATATGCTGAGAGGGGGAGGGAGTGGGCAGCGGGAGGAGGAGGGAGACGCGGGGCGCTGTCTCTTCAAAACGAGGACCCAACACCGCAGGATGGCTGGGAAAAACTACAAACACTCCGAAATGGGTTTTTCGGGGGTTACCCCCCGAAAAGACCCCGAAAACGCCCGGAAAAGATACAAGAACACGTCGGACAAAAAAACACCCTCAAAATGAACTGCCTTACATCCGTGTGGCGGACAAGCAGGCATGATTTTTTATATAAAAAAGGTGTCCAGCGAGATCCCCCCTTTTTAGAAAGGGCCGCCCAGCCCATCCGAGCCGAACCTGATGCTGATCAAAATTGCGGCCATGAGCTTCGAGGAGGTCTCAAGGGAGAGCTCCAGCTTGAAGTGGAGCCATCCTAGATACATGCAGTGCTAGGTGCGTTGAAGTTCTGGGCCTTCTCGAGTTGAGTTGAGGAGCTCATTCGAGTGGGCCCAGTATTGAAAACGAACCGCCCTCCCTTATCGAAACTGTTGGGAATTCTAGACGCTTCGCGTATCCCCACCAGCCCGTCCAGAAACGACGCCCAGGCGAGTAGAGGGTCGTCCTGAGGGGCCCTCCCAGGGGTCGATCTTGGGCGCTCCAACGCGCCGCGGAACCCCCTGTCCAGGTCAGTGGGGAGGGGGTAGGGGGAGGGGTAAACCCCTCCCCGAAGGGGAAGAAGGAGGGGTGGAAGAGGAAACGCTCTAAACCACCGACGCCCAGAGGGCTGGTGGGACTCTTACCACGATTGCGCGCGGCGCTGAGGCGAAAACCCCAAGCTGAACACGGCTTGCATGTGTTCCATCCTCGAAATCGCAAAATCTGCTGAAACCAATGTGCGCGGCGCTGCGGCACGAGCCTCGCTGTAAAAAGGACACGCGCTTCTCTCCCGAAACTGATGCAAACGTTTAAAACGAATGTGCAGGGCGCTGGGGCAAGAGCCACATGTTGGAAAAACGCTCTCCCTCCATCCTTGAAAGTGTTGCAAGTCTCAAGTTTGAGCATCGAAGGTGGTGGGGTTGCCTCAGGCGAAACATCTTTCCTGCCATACCAGCACGTCTGGGGGAGCGGCAGGGAAGCGGACAAGGAGGAGGAGCCCCACTCCCGTCTTCGCGCCGCCGAGCAGAATGGTTCTAGCCAGCCTCTCACCGAATTCGAGCCGGTGCCGAGCCGCCCGACGCCGCGAACGTGTGGCGCGCGGGGTGCCCGTCAGCCCCGAAGCGGGGGCTGGACCCGAGGTGTGCGGCACGAGGGAGGATCGCGGGTGAAAAATTTAAAAGACAGAAAAAGCGCCATAAACACAAAATTTGGGAGCTCCGCGCGGATTCCTTGGATCCGCGCTGAGCCCCCTCCTGGCGGGGCGGCACCTCCGGCGGCTCTCCTGGCGCGCCCCGCGCGCCGCGCCGGGAAGGGGGGCCCAGCGCAGATCCAAGAAATCCGCGCGGAGCGCCCAAAGTTTGTGTTTATAACGTTTTCTCCCCATCTAAAACTCAAAAGACGAAGCCAGGACGAGGACAAACTCGGACGAAGAGAAAACGAGAATCTCTGGGATCCGGCGGCTCTGGAGGATGCCCCGGGAGCCGCGGCCTTCTCAGAGCGCGCCGGAATTCTCTGAGAGCGTGCCGGAACGCTCTGCTACGGATGCATCCTCGTCCTAGCCCGTTCCGAACATAGCCGTGCCCACGGCTTCGCGGGCCGGCTCCCCGGGGCACGGCCCCATGGATGCGTGGCGTTTCTGCGCGGACGCCCCACGCGGGACTTGTCCGTGCGATCGCGTACCCTGAAAAGCAACAACAACAACACCACCAACACACAACAGCAGGAACAACAACAACACCAACAAGCAGCAGCAGCAGTAGCAGCAGTAACCGCAACAACAACAACAACAACAACAACAACAACAACAACAACAACAACAACAACAACAGCAGCAACGGCAACAGCAACAGCAACAACAACAACAACAACAACAACAACAACAACAACAACAACGACGACGACAACGATAACAACAACAACAACAACAACAACAACAACAACAACAACAACAACAACAACAACAACACCAACATTAACAACAACAGCAGCAGCAGCAACAACAACAACAACGACGACGACGACAAGAACAATAATTTTAAGACTGCTCTCTTTTATCTGCTCGTGTGTCATTCAGCGCGCATTTCCCTAACCCTCGATACCCGCCCTCTTCGTCTCCGATCATACCATTCTTGGTGTATATATTTCTTCGTGCACCCTGCGCGATTATCCGGGAAGTTTCCAACGAGAGAGCGGTTTCTAACTAAATGTGAAGAAGTCCCCAGCGAACGCGCCATTCCTGAATGGCAAGAGCGCGGCGCCTGAGTAAATTGCGGGGAATCTCAAGCGGGAGCGCGATTCTTGGGTAAATTGCGAGGGCGTCTCAAGCGGGAGCG